CATTTGGAAGTGTCAGTCTGTAAAAGTTAGTTTGATTCTCATGTTCCTAATCAGATCTGAGTAAATGTAACGACAACTTAGCCACAACTAAGATATGAAATAATGTCACCACCAACACCATGACTTTCATCCGTATTGAACATGTCAGCGAAAGGAATTAAAAAAACAAATACAAAAGCATTAAAAAACAAAGCAGCAGTAACAACAATATCGACAAAGGTATCAAAAGTAATAACAAAAAAAAACAAACGAAAAAACAAAATTTCTTTTTTTTTCGTGCGCATCATACTTCTGTCGATCAGCACAGCCTCTCCTGTATTGTCAAGAGGGTTGGCCATGTTTCCTGTCTCAGGACACTGTGTGTCAAGAGGGTTGGCCATGTTTCCTGTCTCAGGACACTGTGTGTCCTGCACTGCTGAAAGATATGTTACAAATCATGCAATTCAGGCGGGTGGTTGGAGCTCCTTCTTTTGAACTGTCCTTCTCTTATTTTTGTTTGTCTGTCTTATGCGGATTCGGAGGTTCGAACCCTAGCTCGGTCCGACGTTGTGTCTTTGGGAAAGGGACGTTCCACGAAATTCCCAGTTGGCTAGGTCCTTTCGGAGTTGGACGTTATCGCAGGTCCCGGCTCTTAAATAACCTAACAGTGTTGATAGAGGCGTTAACCCAAACTATTTTTGTCTTTTTTTTCACAACATTACATGCCCATTATTTTGTCGATATGCTTCTCTTTACAGAAACAAAGCAAGCAAACACACTTCAGCACACAATAATATTTATAACACTGTTTCTCCCTCTCTTCCTCCCAGATCCCTCAGATCAGCTACGCTTCTACCAGTGCCGATCTCAGCGACAAGACGAGGTTCGAATACTTCTCCAGAGTCGTCCCCCCTGACAACTACCAGGCCCAAGCTATGGCGGACACTGCCCGGGCCCTGGGCTGGACATACGTCAATACCCTGGCCGACTCAGGAACCTACGGGGAGAAGGGCATCCAGGCGTTTGTGGAGGCCACCAAAAATTCCGGTGAGTTTCCGGTTACTTCCGGTTCGCTTACTTCTAATTAGTTGTAATTGTTAAGAATTTTGACCCTTTTTGTTTTAATAGAGCCTAGAGAGGTTGTACGGTGTTTGCAACAGTATAAGGTCATATCAGAGCCAATTTGCCCCCTTTTATCGACACAATTCACATCATTATTTTTGTCAAATGGACGATAAACTCACGCAGATAGCAGACTATGAAATAAGCAAGACAGTATTGCTACTGATGCTGTTGTTCTTGTTGTTATTATTGTTATCGTCGTCGGTTATGTCTGTCGATGGCTGAAACATTTCCTCGCCTTTGTCGTCCTTTTAGAAATATCGAACACAATAATTTGTCTAAATTGATAAGATGTTATATTATAATCTTTCTTAATGAATGAATAAGAAAGTCACAAAATATAAACGAAAACTGAAATGGAAATTTTGTATAGGAAACGCCTTCGAGGTACCCGATGGAGCAGATGGAGATTTTGTGTCGAACGATACTTACAAACACACCATAGTATATATTATGTACTAAGGTTTTGCCCAAAGAAGGCAAGACCACGACCACAATAATTTCGTCATCTCAAGAGACGAAAACGATTTGAAGATTGACTTTCTAGATCAATTCAAATCGCATCTTTTAGGGACTTGAATTCTTTCGAAAATAAAAAGAAAGAGATAGAATACCCCACCATGGGTGGTTGGCGGGTGCTCTGGTGTAGTTTGCTTCTTCTTTCCTATCAAGCATCTATCGTCTTTATCTCCCCTCCTTCTTTTTTGTGTTTGTTACTCCCTTGTAACACCTCTAATCTTCGGCACTTATATGACCTTAATGTGTTGCAAGTGCTGTAAAACTCTTACGAAGAAAAAAAACGCATACCCCACCGCCCCCTTCCTTTCCAATGGCCCCACAAATCCTACAAACGCGCAAATAAAATCAACAATACAAAAAGAAAATGAATAAACATATTCCAGATGACATTCAATCGAAGAAGCTAGCTAGAAATTTCTTCGCCCATAAGTCGCCTTAAGTCGCCTAGCGGGCGGTCAAGGCGGCATAATTACGGGATTAATTATTTAAGCGGTGTGGCGATGACGCAAAGGTTACACTCCAGACCCGACACCGTCCAGTCTACCTGGACCATCGTGGTCAATGATTTATCACTGTGGTGTGAGAGAACTGGCTTGTTGTTTTTCCTTCTGCTGCCCTCGGTCAGGGACTAATTTGATGTTCGGTGGTTATGAACATGTTTGTTTCTTACACGATGTTCCCAATTAAATTGTTCCCCTTGTCGTTGTATATCGATCATAGTGCTTTAATTGTGGCGTATGCTTGTTATAATTGGAAGTTTCTTTTCTTTTTTCCGTTTTGGCTTTTGGGTTTTTCTTTGTTTCGATTTGCAGTATTGAATATAAGTATTGTCCTTATTATTGTCATCACCATCGTTTATATTATTATTATCATTATTATT